TCTTAAAGTTGAGTAAAAAACCTGTTTTTCTAGAGTCAAAAATTTGAAACTGTTAGTTTTTCTTGGAACTAGCCATAGGACGTTTTTGCTGATAAGAACCATTGCCACAGTAGTTGATTACAAGTCTTACTAAGTTGAAAGTCATAGGTAGATCAGTCTAGCAATGAAGGTTTAGGTTCTTAGAGAATCTGGAAAATTTGCTGTTAACTCCACCTTAATGAACTTTAAACTTCTTGTCTTGGTGATTGATTCTTATTGATCTTGATTCTCTCTTTAAGCACTGACAATAAGGTTAAAATACAGTCTCTCTTTGATTTTCCCTGATGTAGTTTTTAAAAAAAGATTAAGTCTAAAGAATGGTGCATTCATGACCCTGTCTCCTCACAAGGAACAACAGTAGTGAACACACTCATGAACCTGTCTCTTCACAAGGAACACAAGTATTGAGTAGCACCATATCTTAGACTGTAAAAGTTGAGAAAAAAAAGAAGTGAAAAATCGAAAATATCCTAAGGAAAAAGATTAAGGGAAGAGAAAATAGGAGAGCTGTGTTGAGATTGATTTGTTCAGTTGTTAGGAAGGGAAAAGAATCTGTAAAGTGATTAAGATGATAGAGCTTTGATGAGACTTCACATTTAGATAAAAATAAGGAGTTGGCAGTAGAAATTTCGGATTTCTTGAAGGGATTTGGACTGGACTTGAGAGATTTGCTAAGCTTGTGATAATTAGACTGAAATTTGATCTTGTGTTGACTATGTGGTATGTGGATTCGAAAGCTTTAACTAGTATGGTGTTCCTGATGACTGACTGACTGTTTCTTGTTTTCAAACCTCGACCTTATTCTTTGTCTAATGTTTGCTTGAGGGCAAGCAAAAGCTAAGTCTGGGGGAGTTGATATATCATGGTTTTTATGGTTTTTAACCATGATATAAGTCCTTTTTATTGAGTCTTTTTGGTCTTTTTAGAGTCCTAGAAGAGTCTTTGCAGGTTAAAGCATGTCTGGAGCATAATTGGAGATTTTGGAACCTTTTGGAGCATTCTGAGTTGAAGCCACGAAGTACCTAGCTCGAAGAAGAAAGTATGCCATATGGTGACGCTCGTCACCAAGCTGGTGACGCTCGTCACCCACCAAGGAAGGAGGTCGTGGCCTTTATTTCTACTTCTTATTTCTTTTATGCAATCTATTCTTTTCATGATGTTTTCTCAAATCACCATGTCTGAGTAGTTTGTTAGTTAAGTTAGGGCTTTTCAAAGGTTGAAGAAGAGTTTGTAGAATTGCTAAATACTTTTAGGAAATTCATTGGTTCTTCATTTGTGCTTGCATTCATATCGATTTCTTAGACACATCATCTGGATTTCGAAACCCTAGGTTTTTGATAGATGTGAGAGAATTATTAATCACCTGAACTAGTATTAGATGAGCAAAACGCCCTAGTACAAAGAGATTTGGCTTAGGAGTTTTGTGAACAATTGAACCTGATCATTACTGCATGTTTAGGTTGTTAGGGTTTGTAAAGAGATTTGAAACTCTGTGATTTAGACATAGATAACTTCTGCAATGAGAATTGATTAGTTATATCTTCGCGATTCATGTTCAAGACGGTTTTAATTCATTCCTGATTGCATGCATTCTACACTCTCAGATTCAACCTGCGAACTGTCCTGACTTAGCGCCTTTAGCCTTCTGAACTTTAAGAACAAGCATAAAAACGCCCTCTTGCATTTATTTTACTGTTTTGCATTACATTCATTATTTATCGCTTAGCTTAATCTGAATCTATAATCGCTAGTGTGGTTTACATACTCCCTTGGGATTCGATAACCCCTTGTACTACAACTGCTTTTGCTGTGCACTTGCAGTTGTTTTATTTGGGTAAAACCTGACCCTATCATATATATATATATATATATATATATATATCCTGGTTGACCGTCTCACGGTTCGTTTCCACCAGAAGCATAATTCCTTCGACCAATAACGTACTTCCCCGGATGCGAATAAGGTCAAAGTTGACATCTACTAAAGCTGCCCCGCAGCTCACTTCTCCGGAAGTGTAACTCCCCCGGCCGAACGGCGTACTCCTTCAAATGCGTAATGTAGATGGGGCGAGTCACTATATATATCTAGTCTGACTGTCTCATGGTTCGTTTCTTCCCGAAGCGTAATTCCTTCGACCAATAACGTACTCCTCCGGATGCGAATAAGGTCGAAGTTGACATCTATTAGGGCCGTTTCACGGCTTACTTCTACGGAAGTACGACTCCCTCGACTGATAACATGTTCCTCCTAGGACATACGATTAAGGTCGGGGTTGAGAATCCCCTTTGGATTGCTCCTTCGGCCAAGGTCGTATTCGTTTGCGATACTCGGCAAGGTCGGAGTGTAAACCTGACTCCCAACTTCCATGGAAGTCCGGACCATCAAGCTAGTATCATATCCCATCGGGATACGCGGCATGGCACAGATGACTCCCTATTTTTACTACCTCTAAGAACTTAGCTTTGCCCAGACCAGTACCGTATCTCTTACGATACGCGGCATGGTCGCCGCGTCTATTTAGCCTTTAAGCGGAAAACCATCTAGGGAATCGGATAACCTAAGTTCTATGCGCAGGAGTTCAAGAAAAGAGTGACTCCCCGACTCATTTCACAATCAGTCGAAAAGTTGGGGGCAATTGTTGGGACCGATTTTACCACACCCAAATACGAGCTCTACACATGGATGGAGAACTGCCCTAGACACTGACACGCGCCAGACTAGCTCGGCGAACCAATCTCGAGCACTATTCCAGAGCAGTTGGTGAGGTTCCCCAAACACGCAAGAATCTTCAGTCGGCTTCCTCCCCTGGCACACCGCGCGAAGGTGACAGGACGGAGAGAGAACTAGTATAAAAGGAGCACGATCACAAGGAGGACGGGGGATGCCCGAGACCCGATCGGCAAGAAGGAACCAATAATCTCTCTCAAAGAGAAGGTAACCGTCTGAAGGCCGATCCGATCGACCCTGACAGGCAGCATAACCGAGGGAGAACCCATCGTTCCCCCGAGGAAATGTCTTCCAGGATAAGTCCCTCTTGACCCGAAACGTCTCTCTCTTTCTTTTTATAGCAAACCCCTTATGAAACATCTATGAACAGATAGTTGCCTCGATCCTCGGACGAGACCTCTCACGCCAAACCTGTAGATTCACTTCCTGAGTACTTGTTCCCGGTAGGATGCCCACTGACTTGGGAGTCGGAGAACCTTCAGAAGAGAAATCCCACTTACCTTTCATGTACTATTTACAGGATCGACCGCGGTGATCAACCCGTTCCCAGGACTCAAGCAGGCTTCCACCCCGGAGCGCCTCGTCGCCTTTCCCCCAGAGGATGAAACACGGAGACATGACTCCACCCCCCGGACGAATCACACACCCCCACGTGGCATCTGAAAACTTTCTTCCGAACAGTAGACTAACGGTAGACTGAATGCAGACTACTGACAGACTAATTGGTCAAATATCTGAAGAGAATATTACGCTATAAGGGACTTTTGCACTAACCTTAACAAAATTAGACACTTTTTGCTAACCAGACACTTTTCTCATTTTTTGGTCTTTCTCTATTGATGCAATTTCCCAAAACACCCTTCATCAAATCTCTTTTACCTCTCACCAGTTTAATGTCATAGACCCGCTTCACACCTTTCAGATCCTTACGGTTTTCAGATCGATCTACTACTGATTCGATCAGATTATTTTTCGCCCTATGTTCTACGATGATACTCAACATGGAGGAGTTAATTTTCATAGCCCACCAGAGTTTTAATGCTCGGAGGGGATCCATATTTTCTTCCTACTAGTTAATCCACCGCCCATATCGCCGGAACTCCGTTTACGCATCACAATCACCGGAGGGGCGCGTAGACCAACTAAATAAACACACCTCGCTGACCCGAAGTGGACAGGGCAATGCCCAGATTTTTTTGTTCTCGTATTTATGAAGATAGAAATTGCAATACCCATCTTTCGTATGGACAATATACCGTGGACAAACATCCTAATTCCATAGATACTATATGGACAGTCAACAGAAGCACCCCAATAGACGGACTTTTATGGACACGATGTGTCACTATTCAATGGATGAGGTTACGTATGGATGTTGGCCTCTATTTGTCCAGCGAAAAATTGATTACTCCCATCCACCCAAACGAAGAATATGCATGGCATTCGTTTTCATACCAAAATGGTCAGTTTGTTAGGGCAAGATCTATCCACGTACTCAATGTACATCTTACCACAACTATAAGCGTATACAGTTGTTCATACCTTGCAGTCTGTTCGTTTTGCTACCAGAAATAATCAAGGAATATGTTGACATCCATCGCAGATGATCTATCATTCCCACAATGTACTTCGCACCACATTGCGATCTCACCTACGAAAATGGACAAATAAATTCAATGGGCGTCTAACATAATATATGCACAGGGCCCACGATAGTTGGCGGGAGTATTCAAAAGTTTAACATACCCCACACCAAAATCTAACTGGCCCTTATCATTTCCACGTACCTGCAGGAGGCCCACTAATTAAATGTGAAATTCTCAAATCTGGAATATCTTTTCTCAGCATTGGGGAGGACAGAAGGACTGCCCTCTTATTGGTCCAAAAGGAGGGTATGTCTAATAACCAGTGGAAGAACAGTTATAATCTTAACTTTGGGGGCACGGTTTACTAGGATTGAGGAGGGATTAGCCTAATCTAGGGGGGCTTAGTACTGCTAATAGTAGCCACTATATCTGAAACTGTCCATTTAATGCTGCACATTAATCTTTCCAAAATCTTAGTTAACAAATATAGTTGACTTTCAAAAACATCTACACGGACACCTGCTCCAGGGGACTTTATTCGCCCCAAACGCTGTCTGGTGTTAGGTGCTTCTATAATCGTCATATTCACCAGTCATAAAGGCGGGAGGAGAATGGATGAACAATGACTTGTTGTTTGCGGAAATTAGAGAATGGAAGGAAGCAGATGGGACTTCATCGTCGACCAAAGCCGGATGTCCAGAGTAGTCGAGATCCGTGAGGTGATGAGCATCAGTGAGCTAAAAGAAGCTGTGTTGAATGAGTTTTTCCCGGAAGGCTCTTTCGGTGTCTCAGCAGATCATTCCTACTGGCCTCCCCACTCCTCTGAACTGGTGTCTGGGATAACAACGCCACTTGTGCTCGTTACAAACAGAGGAGGGATTAAATTCTTCTTCAAACATTTCCACATCTCACCTTCCATGAACATATTTGTATCTTTTGGGGTGAATGCTGACTGTACTAGGAAGGATGAACAGAACTACAATGCACGAGAAACTAATACCCCTGCCCCAGGTCATTTCAACGCTGCTTCCTCGGATGAAGTTTTGTTGTCATCCAGGACAGACTTCAACGCATGTGTATTCTCTATGTCGTCGCAAGGAATGAAGAGAAACTGGCATGGGGATGGATTCTCCAACAATAAGCTGATGGGAACATCCGGTTCGACGAAGTTCCGCGACGCCAAGCCCACCCTCCTCTTGGACTTGGACGACGCAAAGATTATTGACAACGTGCAGCAAGCAGAGGAGGAGTTTTTCAAACACGCCAGGTCTAAGAAACCATCCACACCCTCTGATGGCAACGAAGATTCAGACTACGAGGACTACCATGGTGTTTCCCCAGACGTCTCCGATGTTAGGCCAGTCGGTTATGACTCCTAGTTCTGGGATCCACTAATAGACGACCCTCTCGCCGGCTCGGATGCCGCAGACATAATGTGTCCACCATCTGAAGGATTTGATGCCAAGGCTGCAGCCATGGGGATGCGTAGAGAGTACATACGCTTCACTAAAGACGCCTTTGACCACTCAGTAGTCACTGGCAACCTCCTACAGAAATACAAGTACCCATGGCTCCTAAAGTCCTCTTATGAGACGGGGGCTACTAGCAACCCAGAATCAAGGGCCATTGTTATGGATAGCTATCCACAGATACACCGGTCCACAACGTCCAAGGGCTTCGACCAAGGACGACCTCTAGTTGCCGAAATGGCTCATTTCAGCAACAACCCCAACTCGCAGGCTTCAAATGTACAGACCGAAGTGGACAACCAATCCGCCGCCCGCCACGCCACAGAGGTGCAACATAATGGACAGTCAAATGAACGAAAGAATGGAAATGGACAACCCCGAATGGACAGTGCATCCGGGAGTACTCCTCCAAATATAGCACGGGGCACCATACCAATGTGGACACACAAGCGTGGACAGACAAACGAGGTAACAAATGAATTCTCCACTTCGTTAGATGGAATAGACGACGTGGAGTTCGACATCCCACCCCTTTTTGATGATACTAAGTACGTGGGGAACGATATACCAGATTTGGACATCTATTCAGTCGACGAAGGAATCCACGTCGGTAAGTTATTCAGTAGCAAGCAGGAGTGTCATATAGCCTTGGCCATCAAAGGAATATTTACCTTTCGGCAGAGCCGGACAAAGAGGCACTACTTCGTTCTCAGCTGCACAGATAATCTCCGCCACTAGAGAGTTATTGAGAGAGAGGTCGGTGGATGTGGATATTACGAGATTAAAAAGGCCGAGCTTAAGCACACCTGCTACCGCAAAACAAGAGATGCCTATAAGAAAAAAGCCTCAGCTAGGGTTATCGCTGCAGTCTTCAAAGCCAAGTTTGGTGATCCTGACAACGGCCCTCGCGCTACCCAGCTGCAGAGGCTCGTGTTGGAGGAGCTGAGGGTGAATGTCCTTTATATGAAATGTTATAGGGCTGTAGGGAAGGACGTTGGTGATTTACGCGGCTCCGATGAGGATTCTTACGCTACTCTCCCCATCCATTTGCATCTGTGGAAGATGGCCAATCCAAGCACTGTCGCAGATTTGGAAATTGACACCGATGAAAATGCTATTCAGAGATTCCTATATGTCTTTATTGCATTTGGCGCCTCCATTCCCGGTTTCAGGAAAGTTAGACCCCTCCTTATTCTCGATGGCACTCATTTGTGGGACAAGTACAAATGGGTACTTCTAACCGCATGTGGTCAGGATTATAACATTCAAGTGTATCCCCTTGCCTATGCTGGTGTCGATGGGGAGAACTATGCCTCTTGGACCTGGTTTCTGCAAAAGCTAGGAAACATTCTGGCAGATTGCCCGATTTTAACCATCGTCTCTGATCGACACAAATCCATTTACAAGGCCATCAAGATAGCATATCCGAAGGCAAACTATGGTTGCTGCATTGTCCATCTGGCTAGGAATGTCAGCTCCAAATTCCACAACAAGGGCTTGGGGAAGTTGGTTACTTCTGCAGCTTTCGCATATAGAGTGTCTACTTTCAAGATTATCTACGAGAAAATCAGATCCTCCAACCCGACCGTAACAAAATAACTAGCGGGAATAGGAATGGCTCACTAGAGTAGAGTGTATTGCAAGGGCGAACAGTTCAACATCATGACGACAAATGCTTGTGAGCAGTTAAACCAGGATTTAAAGAAGGGTAGGGGTTCACCTATTGTCTTGCTACTCCCATTCATCCAGGAAATGATGACTAGATGGTTCAATGCAAAGCGCAGAAAATCCCTTACATGCCGTGGAAACCTTCCTCCGGAGATCGACATACTTTTGACAGAGCATATGAAAGAGGTGAAAGGCAGCAAAATCAACGACTGGAATTGTCAGATTGTTGGTATTTTTGGCGAGAACCACAAGGTCTGTTTGACGGACAAGACATGCTCCTGCACGAAGTACAATCGGCTAAAGATCCCATGCAGTCATGCTTTGCTTGTAGCAGACAGCTTACAGCAACCATATAGCTTATTTGTCGGCCTAGAATACAGAGTAAAAACCTGGCAGGAAACTTACTCCGGTGTCATTTACCTCGTCGAAAACGCTGCGGATGAAGAAATTCCACCTGAGTTAACCAAGTTAGTTATGTTTCCACCAAGGAGCCGCATAGCATCGGACAGGAGAAAAGAAACACGCTGTCCATCCGCTGGAGAGATACCTGTAAGCTCATTTTTAAAGTTACCAAGAGTTTTATTTCTTACTCCCTAAAATACCTGTAAGCCTTAATGCCAGTTAATCTTCAACAATTATCAACACTGCATCATGTGCTCCACTAACTTGCCACAAAGATGGACACTGACAACTGTACAGAGACTAAGTTAACTACGTCTCATGTACTACATCTACATACATGGGCATACTATGATGGACACGACAATACAGCAGGAATAACCTCCAATTAATTTCCACTTCAAATAAATGGATAGCCGAATATGCACCCGATCCAAAATATACCACGCTGACATCACATATATGGACAGCATACGATGGAATGCATCCATCACCCCCACGCCTTCAACATCTACCACGTCGACATCACCTATATGGTGCATAGTACAACACCCGCTAATCGGATTAACCATTAGAATTTCCCTAAGCGCCATAAAATGAATATAACTTGATGGACACGCACATTTACAGAAACATTAATTTCACAGACGGAGCACATAGTGGGAGTGACATATCGTCTGCAATGTGGAATGCATACGGTGGACAGCATACATTGGACCCTTTTTGCACTTTTTGGAATGAACATATACCACGTCGACTTCACCTATACGGTGCACAATACAACATCCGATAACAGGATTAACCATCAATATTTACCCACTTATGATAAATGGATATACGGCGATGGACACAAAACTCTAACTACCCCGGCCACGTACGTAGATGTAGTACATGAGACGTAGTTAACTTAGTCTATGTACATTTGTTAAAGTGTTGTCAGATTGACAGACTTTTAACAGAGCATATGAAAGAGGTGAAAGGGAGAAAGATCAATGACTAGAATTGTCAGATTGTTGGTATTTTTGGCGAGAAACACAAGGTCTGTTTAACGGACAAGATATGCTCCTGCAAAAAGTACAATCGGCTAAAGGTCCCATGCGGCCATGCTTTGCTTGCAGCGGACAGCTTACAGCTACCAGCTCATTAGTCGGCCCAGAATACAGAGTAAAAACCTGGCAGGAAACTTACTCTGGTGTCATTTACCCCGTCGAAAACGCTGTGGATAAAGAAATCCCACCTGAGTTAACCAAGTTAGTTCTGTTTCCACCAAGGAGCCGCAGAGCATCGGGCAGGAGAAAAAAAACACGCTATCCATCCACTGGAGAGAAACTTGTAATCTCATTTTTAAAGTTACCAAGAGTTTTATTTCTTACTCCTTAAAATTAGAGCTTCGAATTGCTTTCAGGTCCCCAAAGTAAAGAAACTCATCCCCAACAAATGTACTAAGTGTTTCCAACCAGAACACAACCGCAGTACATGCCATAAGCCCACCTAATACGGGTCTGTTCGATATCCATGTTATAGAGATGTGGATAGCAGAGAGACCCACGCTTAGGTTGTCTCCACTATTGCCATGTAAGGGAGTGGTTTTATTTTGATTTTTCTGGATTCGAACACTTGGGTGCCAGTACTCTCTTAAACCTTTTTGGGCCACCGTTGTGTCAAACTTCTTCTTCTGTAATTCGATGACAGTTACAATGCCTGTTAATCTTCAACAATTATCAACACTGCACCATGTCCTCCACTAACTTGCCACAAAGATGGACACTGACAAATGTACAGAGACTAAGTTAACTACATCTCATGTACTACATCTACATACATGGACATATTATGATGGACACAACCATACAGCATGAATAACCTCCAATTAATTACCACTCCAAATAAATGGATAGCCGAATATGCACCCGATCCAATATATACCACGCTGACATCACCTATATGGACAGCATACGATGGACCAGATCCATCACCCCCCACGCCTTTAACATCTACCACGTCGACATCACCTATATGGTGCATAGTACAACACCCGCTAACCGGATTAACCATTAGAATTTTACTAAGTGCCATAAAATGGATATAACTCAATGGACATGCACATTTACAGAAACATTAATTTCACAGACGGAGCACATAGTGGGAGTGACATATCGTCTGCGATGTGGATTGCATACGGTGGACAGCATACATTAGATCCTTTTTGCACTTTTTACAGTGAATATATACCACGTCGACTTTACTAATACGGTGCACAATACAACATTCGATAACAGGGTTAACCATCAATATTTACCCACTTATGATATATGGATTTACGGTGATGGACACGAAACTGTAACTACCCCGGCCACGTACGTAGATGTAGTACATGAGACGTAGTTAACTTATTCTCTGTACATTTGTCGAATTATTGTCAGATTGACATACTTTTGACAGAGTGATATATCATGATTTTTATGGTTTTTAACCATGATATAAGTCCTTTTTATTGAGTCTTTTTGGTCTTTTTAGAGTCCTAGAAGAGTCTTTGCAGGTTATAGCATGTCTGGAGCATAATTGGAGATATTGGAGCCTTTTGGAGCATTCTGAGTTGAAGCCACGAAGTACTTAGCTCGAAGAAGAAAAGTATGCATATGGGTGACGCTCGTCACCCAGAAAGGAAGGGGTCGTGGCCTGTTTTTAAAAGATTGGGAAGAAATTGCAGTTTTGGCCCAGAAGTTCCAGTATTTGCAAAAAGACCCCAGATCGTGTTTTAGCTTGTATATTAGGTTTTTCAGCCATTCTTTTGGCGAAAATTTTGTATCTTATTATTTTTTAGAGCTTTAGAGAGAGATTTGTAGAAGAGCTTTTGGGAGAGACAAATCAGACTCCTTCAGAGCAGATTTTGAACTCCTTTATTTCTACTTCTTATTTCTTTTATGCAATCTATTCTTTTCATGATGTTTTCTCAAATCACCATGTCTGAGTAGTTTGTTAGTTAAGTTAGGGCTTTTCAAAGGTTGAAGAAGAGTTTGTAGAATTGCTAAAAACTTCTAGGAAATTCATTGGTTCTTCATCTGTGCTTGCATTCATATCGATTTCTTAGACACATCATCTGGATTTCGAAACCCTAGGTTTTTGATAGATGTGAGAGCATTATTAATCACCTGAACTAGTATTAGATGAGCAAAACGCCCTAGTACAAAGAGATTTGGCTTAGGAGTTTTGTGAACAATTGAACCTGATCATTACTGCATGTTTAGGTTGTTAGGGTTTGCAAAGAGATTTGAAACTCTGTGATTTAGACATAGATAGCTTCTGCAATGAGAATTGATTAGTTATATCTTTGCGATTCATGTTCAAGACGGTTTTAATTCATTCCTGATTGCATGCATTCTACACTCTCAGATTCAACCTGCAAACTGTCCTGACTTAGCGCCTTTAGCCTTCTGAACTTTAAGAACAAGCATAAAAACGCCCTCTTGCATTTATTTTACTGTTTTGCATTACATTCATTATTTATCGCTTAGCTTAATCTGAACCTGAACTCGATAGTGTAGTTTACTTACTCCCTTGGGATTCGATAACCCCTTGTACTACAACTGCTTTGCTGTGCACTTGCAGTAGTTTTTATTTGGGTAAAACCTGAACCCTATCAAGTTTTTGGCGCCGTTGCCAGGGAGTAATAGCTGCCAATCGATTTTTAGTATTAGGATTTTGTCTAAGTTTTTATTTGTTTACTGATTTTCAGCTACTTTTCTTTGTTCTTGTTTCAGGTGTATGCCTAATCGCAGAACCAGAAGCAACAAAGAGAAGGAGCTTTTGACTTTGAGCATCGACGAGCTTGCTAGGTTGGAGAGAACTAACAGGAAAGCTAAGAAGCAATCTACAATGGTCGCTCCACTTATCTTGGTTGAAGATGCAGAAGGTCACTTGGTTGACAGGGAAGGAAACAGGAGGAACGAAGAGGGGCAGAGAATTGATCAAGAGGGGAATGTCATTGTTGAACAGCAGGTTCAGCAAGTGGCTGAGAACATGGGAGTCCCTGCTGCTGTCAATAACGCTGCTGGGCGTTTTGTTCAGAGGACTCTAGGTGATTACAACAGACCTGATCAGTTCTATGCCAACAGAGCTGCAATCCGACCTCCTGCCTTCCAGAGGAACGATTTTGAGGTTAAACAAGTCTACTATCAGCTGGTTGGTCAGCATCCCTTCCATGGTTTACCTCATGAGCATCCTATGGATCACATAGAGAGGTTTGAGGATCTGGCTTCAAGTGTCAAAGCTACTGGAGTCAGCAATGACTTTCTGTTCTGCAAGCTTTTTCCTTACTCTCTTGGAGGAGAAGCTGCATATTGGCTGAAGCAACTGGAACCTGCTTCATTGACCACTTGGGAAGACACTAAGAACGCCTTTCTGAATAACTTCTATGATGATGCAAGATCAGAGGACATGAGGACGAAAATTGCATCATTTACACAAGGCCCTACTGAAGCTTTTAAGGCTTCTTGGATCAGGTTCAAGTCTTATCAAAGGGACTGTCCTCATCATGGTTTCAATCAGGTGCAGCTGCTTGGTATCTTCTTCAGAGGCATTGACTGGAAATATCAGATGGCACTGGATGCAGCAAGTGCAGGAAACTTCAACACCAACAGACCAGAAGAAGCTGTAAGATTGATTGAAAACTTGGCCTGCAGTAACAGCACTAAGAATGCAGATTTTCAGAGAAAGCAGCAGGCTGGTTTGAATGATGGAAACCAAATAGCTGAAGTTAAGGCTAAGTTAGACAGCATGCACAGCCTTTTGGTGGGAAAGAAGTCAGTCCAATTCGCTGCAGAAGTGGAGAGTTTCGAAAATCCTGAAGAATTTGAGCAGAAAGATGTTAATTTCATCAATGGAGGGGGTTTTCAGAGCCAAAGGTTTGGAAATCAGCAATGGAACAGAGGCAACAACAGCAATAATCAGCAGAGTACCTTTACAGGAGGACAGAGCACGCCTGGTTACACTCCTAAGCCCCCATTCCAGAAGACTGAAGTTGAGAAACCTTACCAAAACAGCAGGAATTTTGGTTCTTCTTCCTACCAAACTGCACCTCCACAAGACAATAAAATGGAAGCTATGCTGGAGCAGGTACTTGAAGGACAGCAGAAGATGACAATGAACTTCAATGGCAAGCTAGATTCGCTGTATCAAGACTTGAATGGAAAAATTGAGAGTCTGAACTCTCACATGAAGAAGCTTGATGTGCAGGTTGCTCAAACTGCAGGAGCTGTTCAAAGGCAAGAGGGATTCCTTCCTGGAAGGACTGATATCAATCCCAAGCATCAGGTTAATGCCATCACAGTCAGGAATGAAAAGGAGCTTAAAACAGTGCAGAAAAAGAGGTTGAGTGCGGAACAGATCGTGCAACTCATGGAGTCTGAAGATGAAAATTTTTCTGTCTCAGAGGTGAGTGACGAGCGTCACCAAGGAGGAGTGACGCTCGTCACCAACCTACAAGGGTATTGGGGGTTGTCACAAGTGAGTGACGAGCGTCACCCCCCTGGTGACGGTCGTCACCCACCCCAGAACGAAGCTGCTTCGCCTGTAACTGCAAATTATGACCAGGACCGTGTCTATAAACCCAAAACACCATTCCCCAAGCATCCTAGGAAGTCTAAACAGGAGATAGAAGAAGCCAGATGTAAAGCTATGATAGACAAGCTGATGCTTGAGATCCCTCTTGTTGATGCAGTCAAGCTTTCACCAGCTCTAAGAAGGTATGTAAAGAGAATGGTTGTGAATGGTGTAAGTCCTGAGGAAGGAGCATTGCTTACCAGAGACATCAGTGCAATTCTCTTAGGCACAGTTCCAAAGAAGAAGAAGAAAGTGACTGTTTCTGAACAAGTCAATACCATCACTCAAAGCAAAGTTCCATAGAAGCTATCTGATCCAGGGACCTTTGTGCTTGATTGCTCATTATCTACAGGACGTTTTCCACACTCTCTATGTGATCTAGGGTCAAGTATTAACTTGATGCCTTTCTCTGTTGCTGCTAGACTTGGAATGACTGATTTCAAGCCAGCTGGGATCTCTCTCATCCTAGCAGATCGATCCATAAGGACCCCAGAAGGCATGTTAGAGAATGTTCATGTTAACATTAAAGGCTGCATAATTCCTAAGGATTTTGTGGTTCTGAAATATGCTGAAGAACCTAAAGATCCTCTTATTCTGGGAAGACCATTCTTGGCTACTGCTGGAGCCATCATTGATGTTAGAAAGGGGAACATTGAGCTTGATCTTGGTGATGTTGTCATGAACTTTGACATGGATAAGTTAAGAGGGAGTTCTACCATTGATGGTCAGACCTTTTCTGTAAGAACTTCTAGAGATGAAGAGACTGTCATGGAGCATTCAGAAGACACTATTGCTGAGTGTGTCAATGAATCAGATATAAGTGGGCAAGTGAGCAAGATGGCTGTTGAAGAGCTAATATCTGAAACTTCTGCAGAAGCTGTTGGGTTTGAGGAT